AAAAAGGATACACACACACACACACACACACACACACACACACACACACACGTACACACACAACCCTGTCAATAACTAGGGAGTCACTGTGAAGGTCATTGTGTATTGTCTGGTGAATTCCGTTGGCTGTTCACTGCATTAACAGCGAACAAAATCCTGAGTCTTCTGGACAAAACAAGCAAGCACAAATACACCAGAATTTTAGCCCCACACACACACACACACACACACACACACACACACACACACACACACACACACACACACACAACAGAGCTTGTCTCTCAACTACTGCATCTTTGAAGATACTAAGGGCGAGGTTCACCACTTTATCAGGACAAAGGCGACTTGATTTCCCTCTCTATCATTCATTGTAAAGCGCAGGAAGCTATGGAGAAGAGGAAGGGTGAGTGGTGGCAGAGACAGAAATGGGAAGCGTGGCTGAAGGGAGGCTGCGAGCTTGCTATGGAAAATGGCAGGTGAGCAAGTGATAATGAGAGAGAGAGAGAGAGAGAGAGAGAGAGAGAGAGAGAGAGAGAGAGAGAGACTTTTTTCTTCCGGAGGCCGTTTCAACTGGGGGGGCTACTGACATATGTTCCCACTCGATAACCTGCATTCCCAATTGGGACATATATGCTTCGCTAATAGAATAAAATAGAATAAAATAAAAAATAGGCTGTGCTAGGGGAATATATCTGCGCAGATCAGTGGTTGGGAACCACTGCACAAAAGAGTCTCACTGCTTTCAATGTCAGTCAGCTAACTTCTTGTCTTTCTTGCCTCTCACCCCTTGTTGAGGTTGCTCTTTTGTCCGTGTCCAAAAAAAAAGTCAAAAGAAAAAGTGAAACTCACACACATTTCATTCTTAAAGGCTCTCTGCTAAGCAGCAATATTTGTTTGTCTCGGGAAAACTTCCTTTTTTTTTTTCATTTGTCGGGTGTACTTTTCCTGACATTGTCTGAAACATTCTGAAGAGCATTCAGGGATTTGAGCAGTCAGATTTGCGAAACGTTTTTAAACTTTCTACCAGAAGCAAGTGTGTGACATACTCAGGATCTGAAACATGAAAAAAAAGGTGTGTGACTGTATCAACACAAGTGAAATATGGCTATATTGCATTTCTCAGTGGATTTGTGTTACATTAAATGACATTTACTCTTCTTCCTCAAAACTCAAACATACACTTGGAGCAGTTTAAATAGATGATGTCCCTCTGAATTTCACGAGGAGTGATCCCTGTTAATTTCTCAAGGGGCTTCAGTTTCACTTCACAATAGTCAAAGATGAGAATTGAACCAGGATTGCTTCCAGACTACACATTGCTACAAGGTTACCTGCACACGTGTATGAGAGCCATTAGAGTGGTTGCCTTATTTAACAACATAAGAGTCTGAATTTTAAAAACAGAAAAACATTTCTCAAAATGAATCAGTACAATTCTACATCACTGCAGACTATCAAGCAAATTTACAGAAGGTACATTTTTACAGTGATATTCAGGTGCCAATAACAAGAAGTGAAACATCGAGGGAACACAAACATTGCATTGCAGTGCAGTTCTACTGATTGTGTGACATTTGACAATAATTGTCTGCCGTTTCCCCAGTTTTTCCAAGTACACAAATAGACGTGGCAGTGTGAATGGTCGTCTGTCTCGATATGATTGTGAGCAGCTGGGATGAATTCCCGCTCACTGCAACCTTGAACATAATAAATGCTTTAGATAATGAATGGATGGACCTCATGAGGTGCATATATTTATGTATAACAGTCATCTTTTATGTGTGAATGAGGCTTGCTCACTGTAAACATACTGTGTGTGCTGAGACATCAATGAGACACTGAAGTGGCTGCATGGGTCCTGCAGGGCAACAGTACTGTCATGTCTAACAGACTGATGCAGTGGTGGAATGAATCCGTCAGCCACGGTTGACAAAATATTATCCCCCAACCAAATCATTTCCACACGGATAACTAAAATTGCGACTACCTGAAAAAGGCAGTGGACAATCGGTATTGTAATGACTAAGGTACATTTGATTGTTTACAGTGTAAAGCCTCAACGGTGAGGTGTTTTACAGACGTGACATGACACATTCAAAGGAAGGAAGGAAGGAACCCAAAGCACAAGTGGCACATGGGAAATATGTGGTAATTAAAAGGACACTGCACTGGTTCACACCAAGGTAATTGCCTCTCATACAGCTACTTCAGGACAACACACACACACACACACACACACACACACACACACACACTACCGATCATAAAAGGGACTTAGCAGTGCTCTCAGCATCCCTTTGTGAATCAATACAACAGTTGTGAGCATACATATGTGTGTGTGTGTGTGTGTGTGTGTGTGTGTGTGTGTGTGTGTGTGTGTGTGTGTGTGTGTGTGTGTGACCCTGGACATACTGAAGGTCTTGCCCTCAAGACAACAAGCATCACACAAATGTGTTGAGCCAGTGCTGCAGTCACTGTATAGTACTGTATACAGCAGCTGACCACATCCCATACTGATGGAGACATTGCTAGCTAGCATCATATTACGTTCTTGCTAACGTTACGAAAAGGGCAAATATGAAAGCTATTAATGACATTTCATATTGTCACGTTAGTGCAGTTGGGGTGGGGGTGTTGAAAACAATGTGTCACATGTGCATTGTAACGTGGCTTGTTGTGTATTACTCAGACGACGTATGAGCCCATGTAGTGTTGCTTGACGGCTGATACATCAGCATCACCATCATGTCATTCAGGTTAACGTTTCTGAGCGAAAACACGCCGCTGTTGCCAGCAAGCAAAAATTGCCCTTTCTGCAACGTGCCCGCTTTTTCGAACGTGACGCGTTGTTTGCGATTATCTGGACTATTGATGGTGTTATTACTGTACATTGTTTTCGATTCGTCATTGTCTCGGTGAGGATACAAAAAAAAACCCCATCAAAAACGGGCTGTGACAATCACTCACCTTCCTCGGCGGGGGCTGCATTTTGGAGTATTGACATGAATGGTATTTCCCCTGTGAAACGTATAGTAATCCAAAAAAAGAAATCGGAAAATATTTCTTCCCCCAACGAGCATAAAAAAATGACAGTAATCCTCCCGTCCACGCGACAGGGAGGAAAGACGGGGAGTTAGATTTGTACTCCGGCGGCCATGATTGATGGCAAACGTGCTGGTTTCTACGAAGGCGAAAATGAAGCTGCGCTGCGAGGAGAGTGTGTGAGCACTTGTGTGTTGCTTGCTGCCACTGCTGGATGACTGGAGAGTACAGTACCGACTGAACTGATCTGAGCTGAGCTGAACTAGGGAGGGGAGCGGAAAAAGGCAGACAGGAGGAAAGGTGGATAATAACGGGGAAACCCTTCAGCTGCCAAGGGCAATGGCTCCCCCGAGTGGGGACGTATGGTAAAGCATCCGGTGTTTGGTAAAGATGGGAAATGAGGCGCAGAAGAGAGACGTGTATTTTTATTTATTTACTTTCCCCTGGTTATTAATTCCCTGCCTTTTGATTTTTGCTTTGCTTTCACAGCAGTCAGAGAACACGTTTCTGTTTTCGATTTATTTGTCCACATTCGTCCCAGCTCGCTCGAGGACATCTGCTCACGGCAGCTCAAGCTTGACTGTGCTGCAGAGGCAGAGCTGCATAGCAACAAGGGAACGCAGTGGAGCGCAGAAGAATCGATGAGCCGCTTTCAAAATTTTACGTCAGGTTCTGGGGGCGGGTGCAAAGAAAATAAACTACCCCCAATTTTCCAAATACATTTCAGTTATGATCACTTATACGTGGATTTTCGCTTCTTCCATAACCCGAGAGCACAATTTATAAGAGTAAAAAAAAAAATCACAATTAATGAAAGGCAGCACAGTGGACGACTGATTAACGCGTCGGCCTCAAGAGTGTAGAGGAGTTTGCATGTTCTCCCGTGCCTGCGTGGGTTGTCTCCGGGCACTCCAGTTTCCTCCCACATTCCAAAAACATGCATGGCAGGTTAATGGAACACTCTAAATTGTCCCGAGGTGTGAGTGTGAGTGTGGATGGTTGTTCGTCTGTTTGTGTGCCCAACGATTGGCTGGCTGTCCAATTCCAGGGCCTGATTAAAACAGGGCTAGTAGTTTACCGCTAGATGGCGATCGAGGTTAACCACTAAAACCGTTGGGTTCAGACCATCAGACTTAACAATGATGCACGCAAAGTAGTTCAAATACCTTTCACGACATGCATTAATTGGCATACGATGTAAGACCCACATTAACCTGAAAAAAATAATTTAAAAAAAGGCAAAACGACATTCAAAATTCCCTCCTTTTATTTTAACAGTAGAAACACATTTACAAAAAAGACATTGGAAATGCATTTTCTAAACCCAGCAAACACTTGACAGATGAAAATTATCATATTCCGTCATTTAAATGTGTTTGTAACAAGGTGATGACGGCATTAACAGTGCTATAAATATAAGAAATACGTCACTTAATATTCAGGAATATGTCAATTAAAACCACTAAACCCTCAGCAACCATTTCATAAATATACAGTACATGCATGAGGTCTTTCAAAGAAATGAAAATAAGTTATGAGTGGAAATAAGTTAACAAACCATTTTCTTTGCGAATATATGTACATATTAGACTTTATTTCAAAAGTCAAGTTAGAGTTCAGGTTTCGTCTTTTTGTTTTAATGTTGATCAAGTTGATCAAACTCTGCTGCAGTTTTTTTTTGTCTTGATTTGACACGACCATTAACATTTGATTGCATTAGCAATTGTAAGACGTATGAAATGAGGAAAAAATACTTTTGCTGTCTTCCAAGCTATATAGTCACATGTACAATTATTTACAACTGTCTGATGTGACTACTTTTACATTCTCTTCATTTCTGCTTAATGCCTCAATAAAACAAATTAGCCTATTATGAAATACATACTTTCTGTTCATATCTAAACAGCCAGATACCATGGAAGCAACAGAAGCTATATTACTGCACTTGAATAGAACATTTTATTTTCTTTCTTTCTTTCTTTTTTTCCTTACTGCGATTGTAATATACATGTAGTTTGAACCTGTCATATGATCATTGTGATAAAAACCTCATTCATACTTTTGGATCACGTTATACTCTACCTGGTTGAATGTTTACCTCACTCTATACACCCACCTTGGATTGGATGTTTTCTTTTGACTGTCGGGTTTGTCCTTTACACTGGAAAGAAAGACAGCCTATTGCGTAAGCATGAGAGCAAGTTTACCTGAGCATGTGTCTTTTGTTGTGAATGTTCAAACACTGGGGTGTATTCTTCCTCTCACCTGCCCTAAAGTGCCGAGCAATGACAGCTGCTAATCCAATACTATAGTATAAACCTCTCTGCTCCAACTCAGTGCTCATCCACACTTTATCTTTGGATTAACTGCATGCTGTTCATTCTTTTAGGTTTCATTTTGTTCGGCATGAACAACCTCGTACAGCGTGGTTGGGCCCAGTGGTTTGATGTTGGTGTCACACTGCAGGCCTGCCGTAGGGGTTGTCCTTGTCAGAGGTAGTATAATCATACAGCTTCTCGAATCACCTGAAACAGGGTCATTATCATGAGAGTTTGAGATTATTTTTTAAATCTTACTTTTCCAAGTATAGGCCTTGATGAAACTTTCACGTGCGTAATATTGATCAGCTGTATTCTTTGTTAACATTTTTTTCAGACACTCATTTTATAAACACTGGTTGAGTACACAAAGGACAGACAAGGGGATCAAGGTGACAATCTGCTGTCATACCTCATGAAGCCTGCTAATGAAGGGGAAGAAAACTGAATCCCACCAAAAATGGATTTACGTTGGTCCTGGGATGGTCCCTTTGTTTCCTCTATGACTGGTTTGTATTCAGGGATCTGAGCCACTTGAAATCTGTTCAGAAAAAATATATATATTTTTAGAGTACAGAATTCCCTCACAACTTTGCAGTGTGGTTATTGCAGATTCACGATCACATATTTTCATTTGTGAATATCTTCATCTATTGCAGTTTTACTAGTGAATTTTGCATGCTTTCTTGGTATTTTTCTTCTAAGTCAGACCAGTCAAAAAGTGTAGATTTTTTTTTTTCCGAGAAAATTTTGTTTTAGAGTGCTCTAAAAATACAGTTGAGTCGAGTGGGTGTTCATAATGGCCTAGGAGAGGAAAACCTATTGCGGAAATGTACCTATTGCGGGAAGGGCTAGTATCACCGAGGAAAAGTGAGGGAACACTGCATACAGTACCATGGAGATATATGGTAACTTGCCTTTCTAATTGAACAGATGTAAAGTGAACACAAACATTATTGTGCATTTGGTAAAGAATGTTCATGCCAGGGAAAGGTATGTACCCATGTTGAAATTCAACTCGCGTCTTGCAAATTCCATGAAACGACTCAGATGTTGTGTAAAGAAATGATTAGATATGCATTGTATGGTAGCAGCAAATCTCACCTTCCCACAGACAGAACTTTCAGCTCTGTCCATTCCTGTTTCTCATTGCTCTCGACGGTCTCCTGCACATTTTTTGGCAGGGCAGGTTGTGGACACTGAGTGTTAACACACATTCCTGACAGCAGGGGATCCTTCTTCTGTTCCGTGGATATTTTCAGAGTGGGTAAGATGTAGGTCTGTGGAGGCCGAAGCGGATCTTTAAATGAATCCAGAGGGGGTATGAGTACAGCGGGCCATTTCTTTTGGGCACATCGGGAGCAACGATAGCCATGCTTTGGTCCCAAGTCGGAGAGGCCAGAGATGGTGTGCAGGTGCGACTGATGGGGGCAAAGCCTGGGGAGGGAGCAGAATGAGGACAAAAGAGGCAGCATCGGGAACCTGGGGGGAACGAAAGAAGGATTTATATAGACATTATCAGCATTAATGTAAATACATTTTAATGGGATTAAATTTTTTTACCGCGAGATTAATGCGGCACCACACCGGATGTTACGTTGCTCTAAAATAAACCGGAAGCAAAAAACAAGCACGCTGCACAGTTCCACGCCCATGTCTGTTTGGTCAGCCACGGTTTGAGCGGATGGCAACGCGAGAAACTGAAAATGAATACAGTAATCCCTCGTTTATCGCGGGGGCTACGTTCCAAAAAGAACCCATGATAAGTGAAATCCGCGAAGTAGGATTTATTTAAAAAAAAGCAAAAAAATGCGAGAGGGAAGAAATTACCGAGTACAATAAAGTTGTACTTGGTACTTCATAGTCACCTTTTATTTGTACAGTTATTATACAATACTGAACTATGTCTACAATGCAGAGGTGATTGCTCTAAGACTGCAAGGGAAGCTCAGCTTCCCCTAAAATGTCAAAAAGTAAGTGGTCAAATATACGTGTGTACGTACAATTGTGTGGACATGTCATTGACTAAATATGCGCTACAACGCGCTCAACTTTTGTTTTAATGTAAATACATTTTAACGGGATTAAATTTTTTTACCGCGAGATTAATGCGGCACCACACCGGATGTTACGTTGCTCTAAAATAAACCGGAGACAAAACAACAGGCGCGCCGCACAGGCAAACTCAAAGCAGAGACCAATTTTGTCTCGTTTTTGTGCTTTATTATGAACGGCATGAATTCATGTGTAAGTGCGTCTGATAAGTTTGTGAGTGTGGACCTACTTGACTGATGAAACTTTGCTCAGGGCCATCTGTTTGCTCTCATACTCCTGCAGTAGTTCTTCTAACGCAGCAGCATTTTCTGAAAGCCAACAAATTCAAATATTTGTGCAAACATATACACGCATGTGCGCGCGCGCACACACACACACACACATTCATTATACATATCTACATATATATATATATATATATATTTCCACTCAATTTTTAATATTTCAATGTTGAAAAACTTGCAACAGTGAAATAAATGTTTTTATTTCGATCCATACTCAAGTACAGTGATGTGTAAAATGAAAAAAAAGACCAATAATTCAATACATAGGCTGTTTGAATTTACTGAACTAATCCTGTTCATGTACAAGAGATGAAGTAAGAACCTTTTGATGATGAAGTAACCCACCTTTTTTCTCAGTAATCAGACGAACGAGAATTCCAATGGTGTCTTCATTTAGGTCATCGTAATTATTACCTAGAGCGTGAAAAGGAGGAGACAACCTTTAATAAGCACTTACTGTGAAAGTGTCGTAAACTATTATGTCAGAAAGTCAGGCAGTCTCCTCCTTAAATTGGAATGAACAAACAATGTTTATGTATTCAGGCGGCCTGGTGTGCAGTGGTTAGCGCGTCAACCTCACAGCGCAGAGGTCGTGGGTTCGATCACACATTCCAAAGACGTGGATGGCAGGCTGATTGAGCACTCGAAATTGTCCGTATGTGTGAGTGTGAGCGCGGATGGTTGTTCGTCTCTGTGTGCTCTGCGATTGGCTGGCAACTGGTTCAGGGTGTCCCCCGCCTACTGCCCGAAGACAGCTGGGATAGGCTCCAGCACGCCCCGCGACCCTTGTGAGGATAAGGCGGTTCAGAAAATGGATGGATGGATATATGTTCATGTATCCAGTGTTGGAAAAGTACTTTTTGTTTACCATATATTTAAAGAATGTAAATGCATGGACACGGTGCTTCCAATTTGATTGAAAACTCTTAAGTTTGATTCCTTCTGGGATAAAATACGGTAAGTTTCTTGTCTGTGACAAAGCCGTTATTTACAAAGTATGCCCAATCAACTGCTATTCCACCGATGCGTTTGGTTAACAGACGATAACAATATAAGTCATTCACAACTCATACAAAGGGTAAGTGGCAGCGAGTTTGGAGCCCCATTCACACCGTGCATGTCATTGCTCAGATACTGTGCCTCAGCACACAATGGGACTGATAAGGGTGACTCCATGGCAACCCCTTGACCATCCCATAAAACCAGTAAAGTAGCTGAGAAGAGAGTGATAGCAGTGCAGGATGGAAAATACTTTGCTCAGCAATCTATTTCAGGAGAGGGCTGTAAATAAACATTGTGTCTCTGTGGCCTTTTAGGAGAATTTAAATTAAAATTGTGTTTCAATTTTCAGAAAAGGTTGTTGGAGAGGACAATCAAGGAACGTCTTTACATGTGTACAGCGAAAGGACAAATGCCGCTTCATGTATTGTGCAGTGTACCCGAGCACAGAAAATTGAAAATGCATATGACTGCGAGACTTCATTTGTGTGCGTTTCTATTTGTCATGTAGGCAACCTATGTCGGAGTGCGCACATACTTTTGTGATAGGCCTCGTATATTCGACCTTGTTTATAATTCTGTCAATCAGTGTCATTTCTATCCTGTTAGGCAACTTGTGTCTATCGGAGTGTGGCCTTGTCCTGTCAAGACAATATATTTCTTTAGTCTGCCTCAGTGTTGTTAGGCCGCAACAACAGCTTAGTGTCCACAATGAGTGTTGCCATGTGAGAAGAACAACATCAATTCCGCAACATTGAGGTCAGTCTTCTATTCGGACATGTGGCCGACCACGCAGGTCATGTGTTTAAGTGTGCTCATGAGTTTTTCCCATTTTAATATACTGCATTAGTACTACAGAACACCAACAATTAAGTTTTTTTTTACGTCTTTTTCTACTACTCTTCAAGTCATATTTAACACTGTCGCATCAGAATTGGGTTCTGACAAACTGAGCTTGACTCCTCCTCATGGGCCTTCCCCAGTGACCGGAGTTGATAACAGACCGGATGTGCTGGAGTCGGAATTGTATGTAGCCTACAATAAACAAGGAGCACAGATAAACAATGTGCTAAGGATTGTAACATAATGACAAACATGAGAAGAGGCAAAACAAGTTGCTTGAACTTGTTGCTACAGACGCCATTTCCTCTCTCAAATCTGCCAGAGCAGATGCAGCATAGAGCAGCACTTTACAAGAGAAGGCTTCGAAAAGGAGATGAAAGAGGAGACCTGAACCATGAGGTGAGCACCTAATTGAATTATTGATCCGGCTGGGAAAGGAGCCGAGCGAAGGATGGAGTGTCACGTTCACATGAGGTTGACGTGTTGTTGGAAGGAGTGCAGCAGGACAGAGAAAAGAGGTAACGAGATTGGGGCATTTCCATTTAGTGCAGAGAGAGCCCATGTTCAACAACGAGATTCTCACTAGAGGAAGAGAGCAACTCAAACAGTTTAGTTGGTCCTCCATCAACACACTAAAATCTAAACGTATTTAAGAGCCGTAGCTGACTACCGGAACGAGAGTTTGAGGATGTTGGAGATGGTCAAGAGGGAATAATGATTGTCTGCACAAAGCCAACAGGAGCAATATTTCTGTGGGAGTGAGACTTTTGAATGTCTTTAGTATCAACGTCTTGCTTGTTAAATCACAGTTGAATCAATATTTCATGACTGACAATGTTGTCTAAAAGGAGCAGTCAGCGTCGCGTGTGCATGAAGAGGAGACATTTGTCGAGAGCAGCTGTGCTCTGCCTCTGACGTCCTCGTAAAAAAAGAAAAACAAACGTATGGCTCATCAGCTGTCACGGCTTGTGCCATCAGCTGAAAGAGAAAAGCCAGCTCAGCTTCGTAAATCTGTTTACTTGTGCACATCAACTACCTGTCTTCCATGTTGCTGCCGTGCTATTGGGACTGAAGCCAGCGAGTACAAGTCAGCCACTTGAGTTAGAAACAGCATCTCGTATAAAAACATCAAGAGTCCACACAGCTCCTGACAGCAACTCTTTCATTGCCTTGAGAGAATGAACAGTTTGGATGACTTGTATTTAGATAACGTGAAGAAGAAAAAAAATGAATTCACTGTTTGTGATGCGAAGTGAGATGTAAGCATATTTGTCTGAAATTTCAGCTTAGTGAGCATCCAAAGGATTCACTTTGAAAGGTAAAAAGTGTGTTGATTTTTATCCAGCCATCGCTCACCTTCTCTGTTCGGCGTCGCTGCCTCCGCGTCAAGCCCATCCTTCTCGGCATTGCAGCGGCATCCTTTCTTCTTCAACAAGTTGCAAATCATGATACCCAGCAGGCCCGTCACGCAAAAGATAGGCACCAAGGCGAACACAGCATATTCGGCTGTATTCTCAGCGCTGCGCACAACGGTGTCATTGACTGGTCCTCCAGCGCCACTTGACAAGCCTTGCCCTACTGTGCGCACCCTTCTAATGTGTACCGTCACTGGAGGGGAGAGATTGTGATCACAAAATATTTCATTTGTCTTAACTTGGCCTTTTGAGATATTGAACTTAATTAAGGAGATTAGGTGTTGAATGCAACAGTCAGAAAAAAAAATCATGCTTACTCTCTACACAGGGGGTGTTCTTTGAAGCATTTTTTCCCACACTGGGTTTGGAGTTAAATCTGTTGAAAATAAAGAAATATTATATACATACATATACACACACACACACACAGACATTCCACAGAAGCTGACAGTTACAAAGCACATTCATGATACACATACAGACAACAAATTGAAACAAATGTAGACAAAGTCTTGGTTGGGGTCATTACCCAGGCAGACAGTCTCCACACACAGCATCAGAGATTGCAGTGCCGGGGGTAACGAGTTTTTGCCCGCGGAGCTTGCAGGAGGAGTGTGGACGACAAAGCTCAGAGTCGAACGAGTCTGAAAAGGTTCCCGTCTGGCAGGAACGACACCGTACCTCCTCTACCCGACTGTGGATTTTCCCACAAGGCTGGTAAGACAGAAAACAGCAAGTGCACAAAATGCCTCTCGATAATAGTGCAAAATACATGAGCGCAAATGATATGATTATGTCAGCCTAATTTGAAACAATAACTTGTTCAAAGTAGGTCTTGCGATTATCGGTAATTTAACATTAAAAGACAGCAAAGTGCGGCACTACAGATGCCAATCAGAATTTTTATCATCTGGGAAAAGAAAACAAAATCATGTGCCAATTAGACATTAATTTGCTCAGAAACTGATGTCAAAACAGAAATATAAGTAAAGAAAATTGTTATGTATTATATTATTTTCCCTATAATTTTGTTGTGTATCCACTCCTTAATTTTCACAAGGGTCGCAATTATTAAACATTTTTATTTTGGCCAGTGTTTGAAGGGCTGATTAATTAGTCAGGCCCAGACAGTCAAAGTGCCTCCCACACTGAGCAGTTATGCAGCTAATGGAAACGGCTGCCTCGGAATCAATGTGAGTAAATTCTCTCCCGGTCTTTCTTTTCGCAAAGAGGTCTGACTCACTTTAGAAGGCTCTTGGCCGGCAGAGCATTTGAGACACACACACCCTTCTGCCCACTGACAGTGCACCGCTAAAGTCCCATGACAGCCAAACACCTGCAATCGACAAACCCACACAACATATGACATATTTTTTTAAAAAGTGTGTGTGCGTGTATACACACACACACACACACACACACACACACACACACGGACACGCACACACACACACACACACACACACACACACACACACACACACACACACACACACACACACACATGCCTATCATTCCTGCATACAGTCTATCTGTAACAGATTTGGTGTAAATTATTATTATTAGTCAAGTATTATAAAACACACATCTTTACCGTGAGGAGAACAATAGCTGAGCAAAGGGGGTTCCTCATCTTCTTCAATGTACTCTTCTATGTACATATGATCTGAAGAAGAAGATGTTACAAAATATGTTCACATGGACTCAGGCACCTCGTCTTAATGGCTATAATATATAAACACACACGCACGCACACACGCACGCACGCACGCACGCACGCACACACACACACACACACACACACACATATATATATGCATATTTTGCCAGTAACTATACATAGGCTTTCCACCAGAGAGCTTTGAAAAAAAATCTGACAAAAGTTCATTTACATTAAAGTTGCAAAAGAAATGCAAGTCCAAACAGGACAGCTCGCAAGGAAAATACTCCTCACTCTCACCTCCTCATGCATACCCCAATGAGCAGAGTCACCGATGAGTCACTTGAATGTATCTCAATGTGCTGACCAGTCACAGAATTGCATCTGATGCCAGACAATTATACTTGATATTCAAATTCCTCACAAGATCATATATGAAGCACTGGCCTCAAATTAAATGCTGCAAGTGGCGTTCCTGAACCTCAATGGTCAAAATGGGGATGTGAAATTGCACCACGCATCATGACAGGAAGTCAAGGAAAGCCAAAATGACTGAGGAAAGCAAAGAACACAAGAAGAGCGAACAGCACACTCACCCTTGACGTACAGATGACACACTTGCTGGGAAAACAGTGAAGAAGCTTTGCTTATGTAACAACCTATGATGAGACTAAAAGGGAGACTCACTTTGTGTAATGCTGAGTGGAAATGTAAATGTACCTGCCGAAGCTTTATCTGTCAGTCTGACCTACGACACACTTCTTGAGAGACACACACACACACACATGCACATTTAAGATACTACAATAGAAATGTATATTTTAATCATCAATCATCAACACTGTTGTTCAATACCGCTTTCTTGTCAGAGCGATCGCAGTACAACTTCTCAAATGTTTTTTTTTCTCTGAGAAATGGCAGAGCAGTCACTCTGCAATAGAGAATTCATCCATCCATTCTTTTTTTCATCCGCTTTATCCTCACAAGGGTCGCGGGGCATGCTGGAGCCTATCCCAGCTGTCTTCAGGCAGTAGGCGGGGTACACCCTGAACCGGTTGCCAGCCAATTGTCAGGCCACAAAGAGACGAGCAGCCATCCGCGCTCACACTCACACCTAGGGACAATTTAAAGTGTTCCATCAACCTGCCATGCATGTTTTTGGAATGTGGGAGTAAACCGGAGTACCCGGAGAAAATTCACGCAGGCACATCGAAGAACATGGATGATATGGCTGAATATGTTATGAAATATAAGTATTTAAGTAAATACTGTCCAGCATACAGGAGCTCAACTTTTTTTTATCATCTTACAACAACAGAGGAGTGATGCAGGAGAAGGCAGAAATTATTTTGCTGAAATAAGGCGACGTCTACCAAAGATGATGTCACACCATTGCTGTTTGCACGGCTGATTTAATGCTATCGGCATATAAGTCAATTTTATGGTTCATGTTTCAAGTGGGATTCGATTAGAGTCAACACAATTGCTGTCAACAATGCAGATTCACTGACGATTATTGTCAGGTGTCTCCCTCCCAAGCGCTCTTCCCCGCCCGCGCAATGTAAACACACTGATTGAAATGTCCATAACGAATTGGCTGGGGTGCTGCATCTGATTATGTCAATAGTATAAAATAAGTTTGTCTCAATACTTTATTTGACATGGTGTAGGTAGCTCATCTTTGTCTGAACTTTATACCGTTATAACACTGATGTTCTCTTATCATAACTCCTGATCATTTAGTGATGTGCCATGAGTAGATACGCAGATGCATAGGCCTCACCAAAGAGGGTCAACAGGGCCGCTATGAATGGCACATTAACACAAACGTGACTGTCCGTGATGCTGTTGTTATTTTATGTGAATGGAAAAAAAAACACCCACTATCAAAACACCTGAAAAGGCTTTTGTCCATTTTGCAAAAAATAATAATTATCCGGAACCTAGTGTGCTATTATTGTTCCACAAACTAGTCAGGACTTGACTCTCTCTCTTTCTACTACATCTCTAATACATGTTACAATCCATAGGTGAAATATGAATAGCTCCCAAAGTACGGGTTGCAGTGTACATAGCTGGGGGCTTCGCAGTAAATTCATGGAAAATGGTATTAACACCCTACATTACTGCTAAGTGGCTCAATCCTTGGATTACAATCTGTGGAAGTTTGAAATATTTAAAGAATTAATTCCACTCATCGGGGTCTTGCTGCAATTTAGGCCGGCAGAAATGCAGCGCTGCCTTAAAATAGCGACACCAGATGTCAGGTCACATTGTGCTTTGAGCATGTTATCAATATATGGCTGATTAAACCTGACAAAATGTACATGGGTTTTGGCATCATTGAGATCATTTTCCAGCCTGAGCTGGGTAAAATTATCTTCATAAGAACCATCCATTATCTGAACAGCTTTATCCTCACGAGAGCGGATGTTTATTTTTAGGATGAGCCATGGATGATTCCAATTTTGGTCAGTCGTGATATTTAACAAATCACGAGCAGTATTGAAACTACATATACTTAATTGAGGTGTCGACACCTGCCAACCATTTCCTGTGTCGGTTTCTAATGACCGTAGCGCAATTCACATATGGTTCCTTGATGTCAATCGGGTCGTCTACCATTCACTGTTCCTGGGATTGCGTTTGCCGGCATGGCGTCAGTTCAACTGTCAGGTTTTCCAGTGGAATGGTACACCGGTCTCCTGCACACCGTCAGATCAGAATTTATTACTTTGGAACGCAGAGGTCAAGTTCACTGACCCGCTTGGAGCAACAGAAAGAAGTGATGAGGGCAGCCTCACTTAGTTGGGTGTGCTTACAGCTTCAACTTGAGAGCAGTGCACCATATAGTGCGAGCAACCTCATATTCACAGTTCGGCACCTGCGGATTTACGTATTTGCAGATTTATTTTCAACATCCATTTATGTTTTTGCATCCTTTTTGTTTGTTTTTTGGGGAACCCAACTCCCGTTTTTCATGGAAAACACTCATTGGCAATTTTAGTTTGCACTCACAGTGATGCAGCATGCCTAAACGCAGCTTTTACAGCTTGTTTATTTCTTGGTTTATGAATAAAGGTGACTCCAGGGTACACATTAAAGAAACAGCATGGGCCTTTCTATTTTTAAACAAATATGCAACATTGAGGGAATTAGCATTCGAGTAATGGGAACACAACCCAACCACTTAGCTAAAGAAGTGAAAGCCTGACTCATTTTTTCCATCATCAGTCTTATGGGAAAGCTAAAGAAATGCAAACCAGAAGGTACTATTATTTTGACTTATGAACAGAAAAAAAAGGGAATGTGGAGAAGGGGAATGGTACAGATTGTAAAAGTGGGTAAAGCAAATAAAATGGGTGAGAATTTAAGTCCCTTGGCAAGAAGGCAAACATGTTTTCGTAAGGGCGCTTGACTTGATGGAAATATTTGGCCTTTTACTCTGCACTATGCAAACATGAAGGCCAGCTATGGTTTTTGTCACATTATGAAACTAAAACCAAAACAATGTAACCAAGTATGCGTTACTTTAACTGTACAATGTATCATTTTCTCAACTTTCACTTGGCTTTGATGTCTTGCAAACAGCAGGCTCAGCACACATAGTCGTCACAGAAATATTTGCACACAATTCGTAAGCAAAATTTGAGTCGTTTCAGTTTTCTCTTTTGCCGGTTTCTTCGATGCAGACCAACACCGCAAGGTTTTCGAACACAGAGAATGCAAAATGTTTTCCATGACCGCGAGACATCATTTTATAGGCGTTACGAAAATGAAAAGAGCAATGTATCACTTCTCTATTTTTTTTTTCCAAATTAAAATCAACCCACACTTAAATTTGGATCTAAATGAGGTGGTTAGGTGACATTGAATAACTTTAAGGGAGGTTGGGGGGAAGACGCAATAACTGGAACGAGGTTCAATTTCATGCTTTGTTGGTCTCGTTGTCATTGCTCAGCAGTTGTTTTGAAACAGGCTCATGTCTCTATCACCACCAGCACGAGGGACTGAGTGTATCCTGTGCAATAATACATGACACACAATCAGTCACTTGTGCCTTGTCACAAAGAGATTGACCCAGACCGGCGCTGTTCTTTGTCAATGGCAAGTTCAGCTGGCAGACAGTTAACACTTTGCAATTTCTTTCCTTGTACAACCAACTGAAAGTTGGTGACAAGTACTTGATATGAAACCACAGAAGTGCACAAACCGTATTTTGATGGGATTTGCGAATATATTTGAACTTTTAAAGTAGGATGAACTTTACTTACCTGTGGTACACAAAAATGTAAAGAGAATTAAATTAAAATTCAGCAGTTCTGCCAACAACTGACACTGCAGCTTATGATCTGTGTTTACGTTCCCAGTGTAATTAGCCAACCAATCTAAGGCTGGATTTAGACTGCACGGTTTACGGCATCCACCTTAAACCCTTTTGACTGTCCTACGTTTCACAGTCGGTACATCATTTTTTTCTTCGTACATATGACTGTGGTAACAATTTGATAGGCAGTGAAACGGACAAGACACAAGATCAACCCTGACAAATCATAGTGCTTCTTGGGGAGTGTCCTTTGGACAGATGAAATAAATCTGTGGAGCATTTTGGCAACTCAAAAGTGTTGACAAGTGGTTTGAAGGGTTGATTTTAATTCATGAAAAACACTGAGTTGCATTTGATGTGTGAAAAGTGATGTATAAAGAAAGCGTGATTGCCTCTATCTTGATACTGTGAAACACGTTCAACATTAGTTTAGATTCTTGATTTTTGTCTTGAATATCTGCAGAGTGCAATGACCTTTCAAGACGATCACGGCATTCAATATTAAAACGTGCAACGCAGTGTCAAACGATTGGTAACAGCCACAGGTCACATGTCGCCCAACAGAATAAATATGCAAAACAAGGGACTTGTCAAAGGCCCTCAAAGAGTCGATTTCGATGGGTTTTGTCCAGTTAGAACCCAGTTACCCCTTCAATGTAAAATGACGCACCACGAATGCGGCGAGTGTAAACAAACACACAACCCTTGCAGTCAAGGGTGGATGACTCCTCTGGGAGTGACATCAAACTGGCTATCAGTCACAAGTCAGTCCGTCAACATTTTAGATACAAAAATCTCTTCTCGGCCTGTTGTACGTTACAAGCCACTATTTGCAGACGGACGTGAACGCACCGGGGCGACAAGCTAACTGAAAGGAGTTCGAAAAGATGCCCCTTTAGTGGCAGTAGTACGTTGAATGCCAAAGCCGAACACTCACAGCTCTTAAAACTTATTTTCTCGGATTAAAAACAACCAAACACGCATTTCCTTCTCCCCGCGTGAAATCCATGTGGTGGAAGTAAAAAAAAAAAAAAAAAAGCCCAACCCGAAGCGTGAAATAAACTCAGCTCTCAGCACCCATTCATTTCCAGCGCCAGGAGTGTACACGTAGTCAAACTTACCGGTTGCGGTCAATTAAAGTGGTTGAAATTCAGAGTTCCGACACGAACACGATGACCACATATGGTAAACTAGGCTGGATGAAAGAAAGGCACGACGCCGGTTATGGTCCTGCCTCTCGATCGGGGGTTTTGCTCTCTCTTGTGTCAGACAATACGAGACGTCACAAGCCATGCGATGACGCGCGAGAGCGTGGGCAACCGCTGTACAGCAGTGACAGTCTGAGAGAGATAAAATAACTTCCTTCAAATATTGCGAAAATAAATTGGAAACAAAGGCGAATTGAAATTAGATGT